ACTGAGCATTTTGCGTTATGACTTTGCACAAGAGAATGCATGTACAAACTGTCATGCAGGAATGTGGTTCAAAACACGTCCTTTTAAGCAAGCGTCATTTCTATTGATCAGCTAGCAGAAGGAGGATTTTAGACAAATGGGGTGGCTGGATGCCAAACAAAGTCGCCCTTGCCATTTCTTTTCCAAAAAAGAACGCACCCCATGATGCTGAGACTTGCGTATCAGCGAAGCATAAAGCCCCGAGCAAAATGCCTGGCCACTTCCAACAAACCAAAGAAAAATCAAGCATTCAACACTTTCTAACCTGAGGTGTTTGGTTCCGCACTCTAGGTCGAGCACTAGGCTGTTTGTTGAAGCATAACCCAGTGGCAACTGATAATGACATGATGCACAGTGGGGGCCTAAATAATTGTGAGGAGGCTTTGGGGTGCTTTCCACTAGTACTATAATGGATGGGATGATGCTGGTAAGTATTCAGGAATCAGGAATCCGGATTGGCCATCCCGGCGCAAAAGGAAGGATGGAGCTCAACACGCTTTCCCTTGGATGCCCTAGATTTATGTCCCCTAAGATTAAGCAACACCCTATCATCAAATCCTCCTTGCAAGAGGACCTTACCAGTACCTTGAATCGAAAATCCTCTAAAAGGAATGAAGCCCCCAAATTACCAAAATCCCCACCAAAACCTGAACCCCCAAACCATAAAACTGTTGACCTCTTGAAACCCCAAAAAACACCCTCAAAAATAACTCTCAAACTCATGCCTTGCATGCCCCTTGAGCTTGACCCAGGGGCCCAGACTAATCAGAGCAGAACAATTCCCCCTCGGAAGCTCCTGGCTTTTGAAATCGTGCTGGTTGCCCATAGACAGCCATGCAGATTTATGTAGGGGTTGTCCAAGGCTATGTGGGGAATAAATGATCCCATATCCTGCTTTGCCCAGCCCTCCCCCCTGGCATCCCCTCCACCCCCACATCCCTCGGGGGTATGCTTCGGAAGTGACTGTAAGATCTAAGTGCTGGAACGTCGGAACCCCCTCAAGTTCTTCAAACCCCTGGCCGGCCTGGCCAAGTGTTCAAAAACTGGGCCAAGTTGCTTCATTGAAGTGGGTAGGCATTGGGCATTGGGGTTAGGATCTCAGGATTTGAGTTCAAAGCACAGGGCACAGGGAACAAAGGTTCTTGGTCTCAATTGGTTCACTGCGTCCGCCTACCGTTGTTCGCACGGTCCCCACTGCCATCATGACTGCCACATCTATTAAGAGATACAAGCCAAATTCATCTCCTACACCCGCTTTAAAAGCCAATGGTGCTTAATATGCGTACCAACAATTTCAGTGCTTACCATTGGTTCATGGGGTTCCCGGTTTGATTTTGGAGTCCTTATGATCCGACCCCTAGAATTTTCAGCTTGTAGAAAATCAAGTGCTCTGTTGAAACAAAACTATGTTACAGGTCATGTGATATATGTCTAGTTGTGCCCTCTTTCCAAGGTTTCAGCATGCAACTTGAAACTGTTGCATACTTTGATAAAGTGCAAATGTTGAAAGAAGACTGCCATAATGGCTATCATTTGGAAAGGACGTGGAACTGCAAATTGGGATAATGGAAAATAAAATGGAAACTATTATTTAGGGTTTAGGGTTTAGGGCCTTCTGAAAGGTCTGGGGAAGGGCCGCAGGGGCGAGGGCCCAACGGGTTCAGCAGACGAGGAACATGCCTGGAAACGGGAAGAGTGCAGGACAGAGGCGCAGAAGCACACGGCTGGGGTAACTTCACTGCCTCTTTCATTACATCCCATATCAAATCGGGTTTGGGGCTGTTTTCGGGTTTGAGGTTTTGGGGTTTGAGAAGGTGTATAGCTTGGGGCTCTTCAGGGTCAAGGGGCGGAAGAAAAGGTTCTTCAGGGTTGGGTTTCTTTGGGTTTAGGGATTGGGATGTTTTTCAAGTTTGGGGCTTGAGTTTCTTCAGGACTTGGGGTTTTTGGGAAATTCTACAGGTTCGGGCTCTTTAGTGTTAAGGCTCGGGGTTTGAGGTTTCTTTTGGATTTCCGGTCCTTCAGGATCCAGGGCCCTTGGATTATTCAGCGGCCATGCAGATGAAATCTTGGGCAACTGGCACGCCAGAAGCACTGGGCTTGCCCAGTCCAAGGAGATGACCCATTCCGCCCCCATTAGGTCAGGAAACTTGTAAACTGCTATCTTACCTCAGGTGTAATCTACCTTTTAGGAAGCCGCGCAGCGCTACTGAGTGATCTTTCCATGGAGCTTTGAGCTACACATGCAGAGCCTCCCCATCTCCAAAGAGTCAAGTGCACATGTGGGGCTCTGAAATGAAGAAAACCCCCTAGTTTTCAGGAGACCTGGCAGCGCCCCAGCATGATGTTCCTTAAGAAGGTTTAGTTGCACGCGCAGGCTATGGTATGGGCATGTAGGGCTGATGGCTAGAGTAGTCCTTTAAATTCGATATGCAATGGCTGTACCGGCATGCTAAACAAACAACATTCACAGTCATTTGGTACCCTGACGAATCTCTGGTCGCTGAACTCATAGCTCATGTAACTCCGGCTGCCTCGTAGAAGAAAGACTCGCAGAGCTGCGGCATGAGCCGGCATCCCTTCCATGCTGCACATTTTTGGATGTAAGGTGGGTATTAGGAGTCCAGCACCACCTTCAAACCGTAAGAGTTGCAAGTCGTACAGGGTGGGGTGTGCGAGTTGGTGAAAAATGTCCTCCATTGATGGGGCAAATCCGTCTGAATGAAGGATTTCTCATGATTTCTCCAGGCCAGCTTGACATCTTTCAGTGTGCAGAAATATCTAGGCTTGCAGCTTGGAATTAGGTTCCACAAACTGCAACATAGCTACAGACAGAAGTCGCAAAGACCTTCCTGAATGCAGAAACGTACGCCTTTGGGCCTTGAATGAAAGCCGGAATGCCAGGAAATCTTGCTCCTGAAATCCTCCATGTATTGGCTGTGTATCACGAACGTGGCTGCATGTTCATCGCTCAGAGCACCCAGCGGAACAACTTGTGGCTACTGCGAAGGTCATTGATGAGAGTGACTGATGCTCAAAACTGCGGTGACCACGAGAAACAGCAGCAATTCTTCGCGAAGTAACTTACACAAGTTGCACATTTTCTAAAAACCAGTGCGCGCTTCATGAAAAGGAACTCCTGATGTCGGGGATCATCAGAGCCGGACATTGCAACGGTGATAGTTGGAACCGTCTCAATAGCCTTTGGCCTAGCACGGTGAAAAAAAACAGCCTACATGGATCCGGCGATTAGTCGCATCCCTGAATGGAGCTCAAATAGGGTTATATAGGGGTTATGTAGGGTTTGGGCTTTAGGGTTTTGTGTTGAGTTTTCCATATGGACCACGCGACATTCCTTCGTCTGGTTGTTGGCCGGTAAAAGCCAAACGAAAGCAAAGTTGCAAAATTGGCGTTTAAGCCGGATCTTGCCTGGGGCTGTGAGGCCCTCTTTGTAACCCCTCTGCATTGCCTCTTTCCAACAACCAGACCGACCCTATCATCAGAAGCCTGCAAGAAGAACCCAAAATGCCATGAAGTCCACTTTATGCGCAGACTTCTGCAGAGGACCTATAATCCACAGAGATCGAAAAAAGCCTGAAACCTCGAGACCTGAATGCCCACATGATGTCTGACCTACACGTCATCTCAGAAAAACGTGAAGCCTGGCAAAGGCAGTGAGCAGTGCTGATGCCAGCACAAAGTTTCTCTAGATTAGCCCTATAGAACCTTGCCACATACACATAAACCCTTTGCAATTGCAATCCCTAGAACTGAAGGCCCATCATTCTGAGCAGCCCCTAACTCGGCACCACCGGCCTGCATGCCTTGCAACAAGCTGATCTTCCAATGGCAGGCTTCGCCACACTCTTCAACCTCTCACGAAAGGAAGCTGCCAGAGTCGAGGGGTTTACGGTGTCGTGCTTGGAGTTAGAATTTAGGGCTCAACTTTGGGCTGATGTGAGAATGAAACCTCCCACATGCAAACCTCTCGCTGTGAAACATGGGATTCAGGATCCAAACCTGGGGTTTGAGGTTGATGGTTGAGGGCTTGCAAGCTGTGTCCAATCTCCAATCCTTTTGAGTAACCTTGGATATCAAGCTATGAGGCTTTTTGCGTGCAGAACCTGGTGACTGAAGATCATTTTCCAACAGAGGCCTCGGAATGAAAGTTCCTAAAATAAAAAACTAAAATTTGGGAGGTTCAACTACCCTCAGAATTGTCCACTAAGCCCGTGGCTACAGACACTATGGGAACATGTTTTTTGTCAAAAAGATGATGCTATCACGCAAACCTTGAACATCAAACCGCTAAACCCTAAACTCTAAACGGTCGTGCCCCTATGCTTTCAGCAGCAACAGCCGCACGCTTTGTCAAGCTTTATTGAAGGGGCCTCGCTCCCCACGTGAGATGCCCAGCCGCAGTTCAAGGCATGGCCCAGCCTGTCACGTTTGAGGTTGTCTAGGTCCAGGGTCTAGCTTCAGTGGTAGCACATAATATCTCTTTTTGTGACTACCCTGTATTGTTCCCAAGCGATGTTGCTAGTCTTGTTGAATTCGCTCACTGCGCAACACTGTTTGTAGCACTTATGATGTTCCTGATCTCTTGGGAGCATTGACTGATTTCGCAGCGATTGCTGACTTCAACTTTCACTGGGTGTGTTGATACGGCGCTCTCTATCTGTATGCCCTGCCAGGATCTGCTGTAGGCCCGTTTTTCTCCAAATTCAGCGCTATCTTTGCAGAAATTGAATTTTGCTAACAAACAGAAGCCACGAAATGAAACTTATCACACGTGCTGTGGCCCCGCAACGATTGATACCCTGCAAACACGTAAAATGTACTTCATCAGAACCTGCAATGCCCAACACTCCAGGCGTCAAATTGGAAAAAAATGAAGCTGGCGAGTTCCACGATCTGCTACTACAATATAGTTTCAAATGCTCAGAGTAGAGTGAGTTCCAATCTTAGTGTCGACGCCAACCACTCACGCATCGTGTCCAAGGCCCAAGCTGGAGATAGATGCTGGCATTGCAGATGTGATCCACCTTTGGGCTAAGTGAATACCTTCTATAGTGGTTTTAGAATATTTGACTTTTGAACAAAAGGTTCCTGAAACCGGTTCATAATATCAAAGTGATGGCTTACAGCTTAGCAGACATACGTAACCTCACCACCGCAATTAACACGCCTGTCTGTCCACCATAGGCTCAACCACCCATTTCCTTTGCAGTACCTGCATGGCCAAAACCAGCATCACGCCAGCACAGGCCAAAGAGCAGGAGCCATAGGTCGCAGCCAAGCATTTGTGTTTCCCAGTACTTGCAGTGATGCCGATAAGACTGGTCACCACCACTGCCAGCCCTACGAAAAGCAATATGCGCACAAGCATCAAAGTCGTCAAGACTTGATGGGCCCCGTCAAGATCCTCCCCAAATGGACCTGCTGTGTCGAAACGCACCACTTTGTCCATCAAGTAGATGGCCTCTGATTTCGAACCCAGCATTGCAGCCGCTACCAAGACCATACCAGTGATCATGGACAATCCAGCCCAAGACGCCGCAATCACAGATTGTCGGTGCCTCTCTTCTCTATCCACTCTATACAAATCATCCTCCAAATCAGAATCTGCCATGGCTCTGCAAGCCCCCAAGCCCAGGACACACCTGAAGCTTCCGTTTGTGTTGTTTTACGTTGGATTTCGATTTGAGGATGTTCCTTTTATTGGGAGAAGATTGCGCACATGTGAAAATTCCTGCGCTAAATGTGCCATCAATGAATCACCAACGTTTTTGAACATGACCGTGGGGAGCTTTCATGGAAGCCAGAAATCTTTGCAAAAATGAAATCACCCCACATGTCCTCAAGCTTTGAGCCAAGCTTGTGAACCCCGACGGTGCTTGCAAAAACCGAACGACGCCAAAAATTTTTGTCTCGTCACACTTAATTCTTGGGGTTCGGGGCAAAAAGAATCTGTCGCATTTCGGGCTTCACATGCACAGCAAAAACATCTCTTATGTGACAATTACAAGAAGGCTTACAATTTTCAACATCGGCATGATGTACGGCTATATGTACAAATTATGATGCAATCATACGTGTGGACGTTAATGGTTGATGCAGCCGATCACGCGGACATGCACTGTCGCGCGTCACACTAAGAAGAAGACACAGTGCACAACAAACATGACTCATTTTCATGGCCGTTGCAATGCCAAACATCGTTTTTTTTCACATTCGAAAATACGAGTAAGTGTGGGCGCACGAAAGAATTTGAAACGCACCCATGTTGCTCTGAGAACAAACCCATGTGCATCCGGTCGAAGCGTCCCAAGCAATGTGACAAAGCCGTTGATTGTCAACATCCGTCCATCCCCAACGTTTGGCAACACATATTCATTGAGGTGAAGCACGGCCGCCGTCCTTGCTTTGCAAGATGGCTGCTCGGCGACTCCACTCATGCTTGGCCGTAAGAAAAAACTAGGGCGAACTCCACATTGGCGTCGAGCCTACCCAAAACAAGTCTTGCAAGAAAACGTGAACGACCGGGCGCTGCATGTCCACCCCACAACGCCTTTTCGATCAAGGTGTTCCAGTGCTGCACATGAATGGCCTTGTATCGCTGCCAAGTCCCCTACCACTCCACCATGGATACGAGCAAACTTCGCATCAACACCAATCGCAAGGTAAGAGACTGGACAAGGAGGCCGATGCGCTCCACGTGTTTCAAACTTGGTCCGCAATTTGTCCAAGTCCGGTTCAACGGATCCTGCACCTAAGCGATAATGAACTCCCAGCAGTTTGAGCTGCAGCCCAAACTTTCATCACCGTTCATCAGCATTCATCAGCATGTTGGCCAGTGAAGTGCTGAAATGGCACTCCTGCACCCCGCCGTGGCACTATCGGGGATGGATCAAAGAAACCATCACGAGTCAGATAGCGCAACTGAGAGCTATAAAATTGCGAAGCAGTTCCGCCAAATCATCACAAAGACCTAGATGAACAGCAGTCGTGATGGCTTGATTGGGATCCACTGAATCGAATAATTTCCTAATGTCAGCCACGTAGCCCACCAAACCTGTTTGGCCCCAGGCCGCATCAGCCAACAATCCATATGTGGTGGTGGGTGTGATGGATGCTGCATCCTGGTAGCGCAACGAACACCTCACTACCAGCACGTTGGAAAAGCCCATCATGCAGCTTGGTATTTCCTGCCCTGCCACATGCCCGCCACAATATTGCTAAGACAAATAGGCCTGATATCCTTGACCATCAGGCTTCCGAATGAAAACGACTTCAATGGCCCGCCACTTATCCGGCAATCAATGGCAGACAACAATGCCACAGCAAAGCGAGCAAATCCCAGAGAACTGAGAAGGCAAAAGGATCCATACCTTGAGATTGCCCCCGGCATTTCTTAAGAGCCCGTAAGGTGTCACCACCAGTCACATAAGCAACATCGTTGTCAAGCTGGAAGCAGGGAGGCACGTGTTGGGCCACAAAGCTTGCAAGAAAAAGCAGCAGTAGAAATGCCTGGCTTGATCCAATAATTCGCCCACTGCTTGCGCTGCTCAGCTACTAGCTTGTCCTTCGGAACGAGGGGCTTGCAGAAGCCTTGATTTGCGGGAACAGCACAAGTAACCTAGCTCTTCATGTTTAATCACAATGGTGGGTTGAACTTTATGCCTTTCATCTTATAATAGAAAATTATTCCCATTCGAAAAATATTTCAAAACTGAACTCAGTAATGAAGTATAAAAATTCAAAACGTTCAGACACTTGCGGTGATCACTCTCTTTGGGGATCCTTCGCTTCCTCCTGCACTTTTGGACAGGCCGCTCAAGTGGCAAACCTATCACTACTGGAATTTCTGCATGGGCAGGGCGTTGCAGCATCCCCCTGAGGTCCCTTTCCCACGCAGAAATATGAAGGCTTGCAAGGCAGAGTACTTCAATCCCCTTTTCAACCGTTACAGTTACAAGCAAATCTCTGCGCACGCTTTCTTCAAGGCCTTAGCGCAAGCCGTCTGCCCTTCGAACGCATGCTGCGAAGTGCTCTGACCGTCGCTTCCAGTTCAAATTCAACCTGAGACAAGCGATTCTGAGAAGGTGTGACAGCTGCATGTTGATGAGCATCAGCGGCAGCTTCGTAGTGCTGCCCTTCTTAAGAAACTCGTTCCCGCGATTGTCTGTGATTGCCGGAAGCACGACTGGAATTTGATGGGGCTTGTCGCTAGGACCTAATTGTCCAAACGACCATAAGCCACGTACCCGAAAGTGCTGCCGACACTGAGGCTCCATGGGAACCGGATCGGCTTGCAGGTAAAAGAGAAACGGGGCTTTAGCCAGAGCCAACTTGCATGAAACCATCGAACCGTCGATGGGTGGGAACGAAGTCCCACCCTTCCAAAACTACAAGATAATGTCCAGAAGTTTGGCATCATGGCTCTTGGACGGCATCAAGGCCCCAAGCATTAAGAAGTACCAAATCAAATGTGATTCCAACAGACTTGGACAATTCAACGCGACTGCTCTGCTTGGTCCACGCTGTGAGCGCCAGTGCCACGTTTACTTAGAAACTAAACCCGAATCTCTTGCAGTTGTGTCCATGTTCCGACTAAACCGAAAAAAAAAAAAAAAAAAAAAGTCGGTCAAAGAGTTTTTCGTCAGACCTTGATAAGATTATTGACTTTTTAGTTCGCGTGAATATGGACAATGCGCGGATTTATTCACGCAGGAATCAATCTCTGAGCGCTTGATACCCAGGTGGCAACACACATGCAGCTGGCCTGCATGGACTTTGCTGCTCCATCTTCTTGAGACAGTGCTGGAAAGGAATCTAGAAAAGCAACATCCAAACCAAACCACAAGAATCCAAGAGAATCAACACAAAACAAAACCGTTATCAAGTGGAAAAATAAATGCACGCATATCAGACATAGGCGTGGTGCTTACACATATTGCTGACTGGCAAGTTTGCGGCACAGTCGCTGCTGTGGCAACTGTCAACTCCAAGGGAAGATGATCTTCCGGCTACTGCTTTTTTGGTCAGCAGAGTAGTGAGTGCCTTCGAGAGGTTAATGTGCTTTAGCCACGTGAACCACCTTCAGCCTGTTACGCATCCACAGCTCTTCTCTAAAGGGCAGAATGGCCTTGCTGCCCGTTTTTAAGATGCTTTGCAGCTCTAATTCAGACTCTAGCGAGCAGCTGCTAGAACGAACCACGGCCTCTACATCATGTGACTCGATCTTTTCACGATAAGAATCATCTGTCTAGAGACTGCGCCGCAGGTCACCAACGGAGCGTTTACCTTCTTGACAGGACGCTAATTTTCGGTTACAAGGTTACAACTCTCCAACAGCCTTTCAGCAACCTCTCTCTCAGACTCTGAGGACCTTAAGTTCTCACATTGCAGGAAGTCCATGCTGCTTGAGAGGATTTTCCGCTTCTTATCACTGTTAATAAGAGACGCCTCCCGAGCCCGGATATTCTCAGAGCACCGTGTAAACGCCGGAAGATATCTGTAACCTCACATCGGCTGAGTATTCGGGAGGAAAGTTGGTGTAAGACTCTGACTGCGAACCGTGCAGGTGAGAAAGACCAAGCCATGATTCTATCAGAGTCAGCTAGAGAAATTTATGATGAAGTATTTCTTGAACACCAAGCTTGAGTGTCTTGATGATGCTAAAGGGTTTTAGTTTATTTGTTGATGAAAGTTAAAGCAAATGCAGCGGATGGTGTGTGTTGTTTATCTGCGAGTTTATGTAGAGAGAGTCGGAGAAGAATGCTTGCCCGTGTCTAAAGGCAAAGAAGAATAAGACGAATTTGCGGATAGCGAGGCAGAGCAGATTAGATTGGTTCAATATCATCAGTTCTCCACCATGGATCATTTGGGATTCAGGTAGATGCATCTTGTACTATCCCACGCAACAGGAATGCTGGAGTGTACTTCGAATCTTTCTTGCGTGCAAGCCAATGTCAAGGGACGTGCATTGTAAGTGAAGCTACAAACATGCTGTTAAGCCTATTGTTGAGCCTTGAGAGAGTGTTGAAGAACAATTGGAGCATCAGTTGACAGAGTACTGGAAAAGTTTCTGTTGGACAGGAGTGTAAGTTGGACTTCGGAAATTGTGGATCTCCGCGTAGTCTGGCTGCCCGGAAAGCTGGATGTTCTGCTGGACTGGACAAAAGCTAACGCTTGGAATAAAGGTGTGGAGAAAATCCTAAATTTCATTCATTGACTTGGATACCTTGGAAAAGTAGAAATGGTAGAAGATGGCGAAGAAGCTATGACAGCTCTGTCTTATCGTTGGAAGAAACTCGAAGAAGTATGGAATGTCCGACCAACAGTAGCTCAGCGCAACCGTACAATAAGAGCAGAACATCAAAGGCGGAGAGGCTAATTTAGACCTACAGAGCATGTGTCTTGTCAGGAGCATTGGAAAGAAGTGCAACAATGTGACCGTACCAGAAGGTCAGGCCGTGCAAGCGTGGTTGCTTGCGCACGCGTCGCTCCTTCTGTCATTTCTTCATCAGCGTTCGATGCTAAGCACGACACCTTATGAATCTGCATTTGGCAGAGCCTATTGGGGAAAGATTGCCCTGTTTGGAGCGTATGTCTATGAAAGAGTTTTAT